AGTCCATTCATTTCCTCCACTTTGGCCCTCCCCCTTTAACCGACCCAAATATTTGTCGTTCAATGCGTGTTTTCTCACCTCACATAACGGATGTAATAACTCATTTGGCGTTTTACTCTCGACTCACAGCAATGGGATCTACGGAATGGGACAGTACAGGAACTTGTGTGTATTTTTTTTCTGTTTTTAATTAGCTTCTAGCTTGTTATTATGCGTCTTTTTTTTGCTGTTTTATTGTTTTTATGTATCTTCAAGCACGCAGTTGATGGACGTTACGAGATTACGATACAATGGTGGATTTAAAATTAGTTTCATGGGATAGTACTTGGCAAAGGGATCATTCATTCGATGTTCAGTGATATGGGCGAATTTATTTATTGTTATTATGAAATGAAGATCGGTGTTGTATATGTCTTGAATCTGGTTCCAGACGCGGATCTGCTGATCAATATGCAAATGTGAGCGATCATATCGGCAACTTACTTGATACAAAGAGGATTTAGAGCGGCCGCAAGCGCATCTTATTGAGGCTTCTATAGCTTCTCGCCATCAAGAACTGGACATTAAGATATATATAAAACTCAATAACAACAAGGACTAAACAACACTCAGATACATCGAACAACCATCAAGAAAGATCACATAACATGGGAATCAAGCTTAAACACAAACACACACATAAACCACACTACCACATTGCGAAAACCCCATCCTGCACCAAAAGCAGGAATAAAAGGAAGGTGAGATGGGAAGAAGAGAGTCATCTCTTCCCCATAAGCTTATACTTCAATCTATCCGCCCATCCATCATGCGCGAGCGCCTTCTGCTGTTTCTTCTCCTCATCCCTCTTCTTATGTGCCTCGTCGAGATGGACATTTCCTTGTCCGCCGCGCTGACATCGTCAGAACACAACTCTCCTTTACGCAAGAAAGGCAGGGGGCCGGGGGTCAAAGAATGAACATACACCGATGTGATAATCGCCGTCGGTCGAATTGCGAATCGCCAGCTCGGGAATGATTTCCGCGTCGTGAGGAGTCCCCGCCGTGGGACGTACGTGGGGAGACCCGATGTTGCCTGCGCCGCCGCGCTGTTGCAGTCTAGAGGTCAGTGATCTATGATGGTCGGTTGGGGTTGGAGGGGAAGGTATGTATGGACTCACGCCGGCGGAGTATGCGCCGTCGCCTTGGTCTCCGTAGGCGCCTTCACGGACTATACCACCGTCGACGTATCTGTGGTGTATTTGTTAGACGGGGAATGTGTGGAGGAGGGATACTGGGGCGCACTGGGTGGAGTCGGCGCCGATGTTGCCTTGACCTGGGGTAGGAGATGGTATGTTAGGGCGAGTTCAGTGAGAGACGTATGACGCTTGATAATATATTCAAGAAGGGGGCGCACCTCCGCGGCCGTGGGATACGATGGGTTCGTGTTCGCCCATAGTGCTAGAAGTGATGTGAGTCTGGAGCTGGGATAGAATCCTTGATGTTTTGAGAGAAGTTGCTTGCGCGCGAAAGTCAGGCTAGGGGTTCAGTACTTATATCTATGCACTGGTGGGCAGTCGGTGCTTTCCAGAAGGATTCCAAATGGATGGGAAGTAAACTCAAAGGTAAAGTTTAGGAACGAGAAACCACGAGAGGGTCTGATGCGATTCCTCAGGATTCAGGAGATGGACTAGGCCCTGAACGTCCCGAAATATTCCCTAAAGGTTTATTGAACACGGGGTTTATCAGGCATTGGGCTAACAATCGACATATACTAACTCGGTGACGTCGGTACAAGCCCATCAATCGGGCAGATAAATGATAAGATAACGAGGCTGCGATGCAATCCATTGGTCCAGTTCGTGACTAACGATCGTTGATAACTCGTCCCGTGGATAAGACACCCGTCTTGGCAGGTGATTTTGGAATACGATTGAGTAAACATTCACATTCATGAGCACTACGCTGCTATAAATCACCAGAATGACAGTCTCCCTCGCTACATTCCTACGATAACAAAACACCTACTGCGTGTATTAAGCCCAGCACCGCCTGTTGCCTCTACTTCTTCTGTTCGGCGGCAGGACCTCCACCGGTGGTGGGAAGACCCATGAAGATCTTGAATGAATCGTAGCTAGCGAGTGTCAGTACTCAAGTCCTATAATCGTGGAGAAAGAGCGGCAAGAGATACATACATCATCCATTGCAAACCGGTCTACAAATCCCTTTGGTTAGCGGATACCTCAACAAGGTCTGTTGTTGACTTACCAGAGTTCCGATCATGACAATTCTGACGGGAAGACCATTCCACAGGCCAGCAAAGCCAATTTCCTTGTAGATCCGACCCATAGCGGCACCAAAGGCTTCACCAGGCTGTCTGTTTGCGTTCAATTTACTCACCATCACATCAGCGGGATGGGACACAACAGCGCATAGAATACCAGCCAAGTAGCCTCCAGTGAAAGCCACCCCAGTCTGTGCGCCTTTGTTGTAATCAGACTTCTGACCCGGTAGGTAGTTGTAGATCATCTCCACGATGGTTTCGAATGAAGCAAACTTCATCATGGTGTACGGAATCTGCCGACCCCACAACGGATATAGACCCTTGTAAAGTCTATTCGAAGTCAGTGCGGTCCAGCTGCATCTACAACGTATAATCGAGTGCTTACCCTGCTACTCCTTCCTTCGAAACGACGTTGGAAATCCCCGTGAAAGTCGATCGGATATCAGGTGGGATTGTTGTCTGCATGCGCACCTTGACGGCCTCGAAAGGACAGAGTGCTACATCAGCAATAATCTCTGCAGATGCACTGGCTGTGAGATACAGGGACGTCTTCCAGCGATTTGCGTTCTCCACTCCAACCAGGTTGCTATAGAACTTCTTGAAAAACTCATAGCCACCGTACTTGAACGCTCCTTGGGCCTTCATTCTGTTAGTCAGCTCCGTATATTGAATGTCAGGTATTGTATCACCAGCGTACACTGTATCCAAAGAAGGTAGGCCCCCAACCCGTAAATACTCCTCTGAAGCCCTCTGCGGCGCGAATAGTACGAAAAGCCTCTAGGTTGCTTTTGTAAAGCTGAGGATCAACCTGGCGTCGGCATTTGATGAGATCCAGTGGCGTCACAGCAGTGTGGGTAAGGCCCTATCCACAATCAGAAGATTGGAACAGTGAGTAAAGCGACTATATCATTTTATAGGGGAAACCCTACGCAAGCAAGAAGTCCGCCGACTGTACAGGCTGCATAATACTTGGGAGTCCACGGTTCAATTTTACCGGTCTTGGCCTGAGCCTTTTGGCTTGCAATATTGAATTCGCGTGACGCCTCCTTTGCAATAGCATCTGCCTTTCTTTTGGTATCATCAACCACACTCCAGGCTGGAAACGGCTCCTGCCTTTTTGTTCCTGCAGCTCCCGAAAGCTGCGACTGCTTTCCGGATTGGTTTGGAGGGTGCTGTGAGGAAAACATGCTACTGATGATATCTTTAGAAGGAAACATTTTAGTGAGAAATTACCTAGTTAAATCATGTTAAAATATTGGGTTTATTGTAGGTTGGGAGGTCTCCACAGGACCAAACCGCACGTACTGGTGGTTGTATATCTATAAAGAAGATCGTCCCCACTTCTAGGGCAGTCGGTATCTCAATCAGTACAAAACAGTTGGAACACGAGTCGCTCGAACTGCTGACCTTTTCTTCCTGTTAGAGATACTAAAGAAGCAGTATGACAGTCTAAATAGTAAACCAAATGTGACTCAGTCCGTAGCAGGACCCAAACAACCGAAAAGGGAAGAGAATCTGACACTGCGGCAGCGACCGGCAATGACGTCGCATGGTATCGTGACATCCACTCCTAAGAAGGTGTGGTTGGCGCCAAACCCGATCGGCTTAGAGGACGGAGACTAAGGCTCGTGGGCCGCAATCGATAAATTTATCATCCATTGGAACAGACTTCACCTGTGATATTGTCAACACCCTCTTTACCCCATATCCTTTGCTCTTACTGTCTGCACAGCCGTGTTTCTCCGAGTTTACCCTGTGTTACTTACTGTCTCGATTTGAAGCCGTTCCTATCCTCAATTGGACCCTATAGTTGGCCCCTCTTCGTACCCCTCCTAGTCGCTTTGCTGCCCCTCCTGTGAATCACTCCGTGGATATGGCTTCCTATTCGACCGGCAGCGAGGCATTTGCCCGCGAAAAACTCTCCTCCGCCGTGGAACAGTCCACGTCCCCGTCGTTGTGGGCAGACAAGTACCGAGGGGTTCGTTACCCCTCTATGTTGGCACTTCACGCCTACCTGCATAGACCCATTGTTATTCCCTATTTACTGACAAAAGAATTCTAGGCTACAGTTGAAGATCTGGACCCCCCTCCGGCACTGTCAGTCTCCCCTAGCGATTTGGTTTCCTCCGCCATGCTCGCAGCCTACGAACGTGATTTCACTCATTTAACCGTTACTTCTTCTACGAAACGATCCCTACTTGGCTACCTTAGCATTCCCCGCCTGAAGCAACTTTTGAAAGAAGGAACTATCAAAGAGTCAGACTCCGTGTCTGCCGCCATGCAGCGGTTTAACCGGAAGCGGGGCTTGTACCAGGTAATCACAATGGAGACTCCCTTGGAGGAACTGGAGCAATTTTTCGAGAGTGAAGCCGGCCCCAATGGCGAGAAGCGAGAGAAACAAGAGTTCGCCGTGGTAACAGATGTATCGCGGAAATTCGTGCTCGGGGTGGTAACGAAGAGTGATCTGGAGGAGTTCGTGAAGCGGAGGCCATAAGTCCCTGAATCTTAACGCAGTCCTCTTTTTCATTTTCATTTTCATTTTTCTTGTCTCTCTTCTTCTGCTCGGGTTCAACTTGTTTATATACAGTCTGTCGGTGCATTTCCAGGCGCGGCTTCTTCAACATGGGCTGGTTGTAATACTGGAACTATCGTCTTCCACAAAGGTCCGAAACGGGACTACTTAACGGCCCGCGGCACCCCTGTGGGCGTGTTTTACCTACGTGGATCTAGATGAATGATGTAGGAACCTCACATATTCAACTGGTATTCCTACAGTCCACATGACTTATCATCCTTGGGCCAAACCAAAGTAGAATTACAACACAGCTGTCCGCGAACGCCGCATATTAAGTACAAAGACCAAACGCATACATGTAAACCGATTGGTAATCCCGCCAGGGGCCACAAGCCCCTTATTGCGCCTTCTTTTCTTTCTTCTTCGTTAAGGCTTCTCTCTCCAGGCGATCATCCTGCCATGCAACAAAGACATACGCAAACAAGACGATATTGGCCGTAACAGCCGCAATAATGCCGGCGACAGTTGGACTCGCTACCTGATGTTAGAACTCATACCTCAAGGGTACACGGAAGCCATGGAAGAAAGAAGTAAATAAAGAGACCAGGGGACAAAGGAGCATACCGCCAAACTTCACTGCGACAAAGTACATGCCAATGGGCAATGAGACCATCGCGGCGGAAAACCCTAGCAGTTTGAAGATGACATTTCTGTAACGAACTATTAGTAGCTGTGACAATTCATCGGTGGGGCACTCTGAGCGGCACGGCTTGATTCGTAGAAGACGGTACATGTCTACTAGTATCGGGTTCGACGCCGCGCATCGGCCATGTGGCATGAATGCAGATTGAGGATGGAAACCAGACGGGGAAAACTCTTACGTGGGAACTGCAGGCGTAACATCGGAATCGGACGTTTTCTCCGGTGCAGGAGTAGCGACCGCTTCTGCGTATGATTTACCCTGAGGACGACGGCTGGCCATTTTGGATTGTAAAGGGTGTTGATACTAAGTGTGTGGACCGAGCAGATATGATGGATACCCTTGAGGGGGCTGGGAGAGAAGGGAGGAGTTCAACTGCACGTAGCAAGCTAATCGAATGGAGGCTAAATTGATCTCTGAGCCTTATGATTATACTTATGGACCGTTTTCCGTGGCCAAAGACGAAAGAAGAATTGTTTATTGAATGGATTGATTTACTCAATCCAGGCGACGTAATTCAGGTGAGGTCATTGCATGCACATCTCTCATTGGTCCGCGGCCATTGAAAGCCTCCGATTGTCAAAAAGCTCCAACATTCTTTCAATCTTGAGAAATCCTACGCAACACTTTCGATTCAGGTGGACAGATGCACAGTATATGGTAAGTGAATTTTTTCTCTTCATGAATTTCTTACCCTGCTCCATGGTTATCATTTGGAGAGGTCGCAGGATTTCCTTGCTTGGTCTTTAATTGAAGCGCCAATACACGTGACCGCGGGCGCGTCTGAGCGCGTTTTTTGCGGAGAAAAAAAGCCCTTTCTTGAACTTAATCTGAAGGAAAAGTTCAGGTTGGGGAAAAGAAGGAACTTCCTCTCGGTCGTCTGAGCGAAGCTGCCTTCCTGCCGCAGTGGCCGGGCCTCAACTTAATTCACCAGTATCGGACAAGCCTCACTAACCATGGACGATTCAGTTCCTGATACCCCGGTTAGCGACAAAAAAGTCATTCACAATACGCCGCCCGGGAGAGAAGACGAAGGATATGAAACTGTCGCCACTGTTCCGCTGCCACACTTTCAACAGCCCGCAACCCAGTCCCTGACCCCGGCGACCCAACGTCTAACACAACCAACACAGATTATAGAACCGCCCTATTCTGCGAAGGGCAATTCAGTCATTCAAGTTGCTGCATCTTCCCCGCCAGGTCCTACATCCTCTCCTTCTCGTCCTGCCTTGCCCGGTGGTCGCCTTGCCAGCGCAATGGCCCCCAGCGGTACCCTGTTCCGCCCCCCTGCGGTAGGCCCTGCGAAGCGTGCGCCGGTAATAGATCTTGAGGATGACGGCCCAACGTACCGTGGAGGGTCTTCGGACGACGATGACATTCAAATGACAAGCAGCACTGACATCAAGCCCTCCTTGTTTGCCAAATCTTCGCGGAACCCCGAAAAAGTTTTGGACTCACCGGGAGGCGCAAATAATTCTTCTTTCGACCGATTTAAAGAGATTACCGCGTCCGCCGTCTATAATCCATCGAGCGCAAAACGCCCTGCAGCTCAAATGGACCCTGTACCAAAAGGGACTGCGGTCAAGAAGCTTCGGCAAGATGGGCCCTCCCGCGCGCAGCCGGTGCAGCTGGATATATCGTCTTTACAGGATATTGAAGACTATCAGTTGAGGGCCAAGGTAGAGAAGATGCAAAGAGTGATCCCACAAAAATCCGTTAAAGCTTGCATGCAAGCTCTTTTAACGAAGCGTGGAAATTACGACGATGCTCTGGATTACCTGGCTAGCATGGTTGAAGGTGAAGCAGATGGAACAGCCGACTTGTCGGACGATGAATTGGCTTTGAATAAAAGAGCCTCTCCCGTTGCGCCGGCGAAGCAGCAGATCAAAGCTCGAGGAACTATTCAGAATAAATGGGCTGCGATGCGCCTGGAGAATCGCAGCACCCCGAAGGCACCTGCGCAACCGTCCGACGAAGAATCCAAACCAAGGAGACGTTTAATTAGAGGGCCAAAGACCCGTGTGTCTTCCCCGAGTCCAGATCGCTCAGAGTCTCCTCCGAAAAAGAAGCCCGGCCGACTTATTCAAGGGCGGAAGCAGCCATCACCCGAACCTTCAGAACCCGAGGCATCCATGTCCGATGACTCAGATTCTGGTGTAGAAGCTATTCCGGAGGGTGAGAGTGCATTGGAGACCAGGGTTCTCAGGTTCTTCAATACATGCAATGTCCTTGACCTTGCGGACATTGCCGCAATCACCGAAGATGTTGCGAGCGTCATAATTTCTAACCGACCTTTTGCGACTCTGGACGAAGTACGCGTTGTCACTGCGCCTACGACGGAGCAAACCGCGAAGCCAAAGGGTAGTCGTGGGCGTAAAACGCCCAAGCCTATTGGTGATAAAATTGTGGACAAATGCATGGATATGTGGGTTGGGTACGAAGCTGTTGATTCGTTGGTGGCAAAATGTGAGGCGCTTGGAAAGCCGATTGCATCGGAAATGAAAAAATGGGGCGTCGATATCTTTGGAAAGCGTGATGGGGAATTGGAGCTGACATCGATCAACCCCGGGGCATCGCATGACTCTGGCATCGGTACCCCTGCCAGTCAGCGCTCAGAGGATGATAGTGATGGTCCTGCGACTGGCTCCCGTAAAAGCCGATTCATATCCCAGCCTGGTATTATGCGCGAAGACTTGAAGATGAAGGATTATCAAATCGTCGGGATTAATTGGCTGTCGTTGCTCTTCGAGAAAGAATTGAGCTGTATCCTGGCGGACGATATGGGTCTTGGGAAGACTTGCCAGGTCATTGCATTTTTGGCTCATCTGTTTGAGAAGGGCATCAAGGGGCCGCACCTCATCGTCGTGCCTTCGTCCACAATCGAAAACTGGCTTCGAGAGTTTCAAAAGTTCTGCCCAGCCCTCTCCGTTATGCCATACTACGCTGGCCAGGCTGAGCGCGCAGTGATTCGAGAAACGATCGAGGACAACAGGGACAGCATCAACGTTATTGTCACTACGTATACCATTGCCAAAGCCAAGGTTGATGCACACTTCCTGCGCAACATGGACTTCACCGTTTGTGTGTATGACGAGGGTCATATGCTCAAGAGTTCTACGTCTGTTCTCTATGAGAAATTGATCAGAATCCGGGCTCGCTTTAGGCTTCTTTTGACAGGTACACCGCTCCAGAACAATCTCCAAGAACTTGCCTCTCTTCTGGGCTTTATTCTTCCGAAGGTTTTCCAGGAGCGCAAGGAAGAGCTTCAGAATATCTTTGCAAACAAGGCGAAGACCGTGGATGAATCCCACTCTGCCTTGCTTTCTGCACAACGCATCGAAAGAGCAAAGTCAATGCTTAAGCCTTTTGTACTGCGACGCAAGAAACACCAGGTCATTGATCTGCCCCCCAAGATTTCTAAAGTTGAATATTGTGAGTTAAACGAGTCCCAGAGGGAAATTTACGAACATGAGCAAGAAGAGGTCCGTAAGCTGTTGGCCGACCGAGCAGCCGGAAAGAAGACAGGCAACAAGTCTGCAAATATCCTGATGAAGCTACGCCAGGCAGCTATCCATCCATTGCTATACAGGCGTCACTACAATAACACTACATTGAGCCGCATGGCGAAAGCTTGCCTCAAAGAAGAGCAGTGGTCCCTGTCAAACCCGGATATCATTTATGAAGAGCTACTGGCATATAATGACTTCGAATGCCACACTATGTGCGTGAACTATCCTAAATCGCTTGGGAAGTTTGCGCTGAAAAACAATGAATGGATGGACTCGGGTAAAATCGATAAGCTTTGTGAACTGCTGAAGCGATTCAAGGAAAACGGTGATCGCACTCTGATCTTCTCCCAATTCACTATGGTGATGGATATCCTCGAACACGTTCTTGAAAACCAGCACCTTGGTTTCGTTAGACTTGATGGCCGGACGAACGTCGAGGATCGCCAGTCCATCCTCGATGCGTTCCATGAACGGACAGAGATTCCGGTGTTCCTCCTCTCCACAAAAGCCGGTGGCGCAGGTATCAACTTGGCCTGTGCCAACAAAGTGGTGATCTTCGACTCGAGCTTCAACCCTCAGGAAGATGTACAAGCCGAGAACCGCGCTCATCGTGTGGGCCAAACACGCGAGGTGGAAGTCATCCGACTCGTTACCAAGGACACAATCGAAGAACAGATCTACGCACTAGGACAGACGAAACTGGCTCTCGATCAAGCCGTAGCAGGCGAGGATGCCGCCGAGTTGAAGAAGAGTGAAGAAGCAGGCATGAAAGCCGTCGAGGATATGCTCATTGCCGGCTCAAATGGAGAGAAACAGAACTCCTCATGAGAACATGTCCTTGAAGATTTCATACATCCTAGCATTAGCCATCTTTACGAAAGTCGCAACCATTCGAGGACGTTTGGGGCCGTGTAACAAACCTCGCAAAGACTACAGAGCCTATACCGATTGCATTTCGTTTTTTTTCTTTCCTGCTTTTATCATGCTTTACTGTACTTTTGCTAAACCTCTGTCTGCATCGCCGTGTTATTAGCGATTTTACTTACCTGCACATTGCCACGGCATACAACTTGTCTTTTTGAGTGTGATGATGACCGTGTTTTTACCTGTCACGGCTCGCACTCAACATCTTGGTTGCATCTGATCTTGTTTGGACGCATTTGTCGTGTCACAGTGGAGTTAGCAACGTCTTGGGGCTGTGTTGGCTGTTTTTGACTAAACGGCTTCCTTTATTATCTTTTCGTTTTCCGACGCTTTTCTGCTTATAGAGACGGAGTATGAACTGGCTGTTTTAGAAATCATCACATCATCAGAACTAATAGAGCAAAGAGAATGATTGATCGACTCAATTACCTCGTTGGCAAGGCCCATTTATGTCACACATGTACGATACGATTGACTAGGGAATGGTAGGGGTGGGAAATTTGATATATCAGACTAGTATGATGAGATCCATGATTTTTGATATATTCGTGTATGTACCGTTAAAATTCACAAGACTTCAACCGACCGGCTTTTACCACACCGAGGGAATCTATAACTATGAACACCAAAGAATAATCCGGGAATTCAACACCATGTAATGCGATCAAGACAACAAAGGTAGAAAAAGCCAGGCGCAAATAAGAACAGGAAAGAGAAACAATAGCAGGGACTTTCAATGATTATGGGACTGTGTATCGATAGAAGAGCCTATTCCCGAGCTCATGCGGCGACTTCCTGTTTCTGAGATGATTGTGAAGCTGTTTCGGGGATTTCGAGATTGGCCTCGTTCGTCTCAGGCTTCGATTTCGTAGGGGCAGGGATGGAGTTTGTACGAATCGGTCCCACACCGCTGGTAGCGGGGGACGAGGATTTCGGCCGTGAAGCACCACCAGCTGCTCGGGCGGTTTCGTTGTTCTCAATGGCGTTCTGGACAGCCTTGTTTCGTGTCTCTTCGAAGAAAATTGATTTTCCCTTGAGGTTCAGGAT